AATACAATAAAAATTTGTTAAATCAATCAAACCCACGTTAATAAATAAAACGTATTAAATCAATTAATCAAAAAACACGTTAATAAATAAATCCAAAAAATGTAGTAAATCGATTAAAAACCATGTTAAAAAATCAAATCATATTAAACATCATTCTTACATTTATCGAATCAAAGGTTTGTTAAGACTCTTGTATCAGATTTAGAGGTGTAGTATTCTTGTAGCGCCATTGGACTAACTGATTTTTACCCATAGATGTCGCCAATCGAATTTTTCAAAGCTCTAGCAGAAATGCCATTAGAGAGTTATTTATTCATCATCCCTGTCTTGATACTTATCGTAATTTTTATCATTGGGGAAAAGTTTTTCGTGTACCTATTCATTACTGTTATATGCTTCGTTCTCTACATCTTTAAACAACGGATCGATACGGATCTTGATTTATTGAAGGAGAAACAAAAAAACAAATCTAAAATAATTGATAATAAATTTGAAGAAATTGATAATAAAATTGATGAGCTTTATAATAAAATTGAAGAATTTAATAATAAAATAGATGAACTTTCCGAAAAAATTTCTTTGCTCAGTGAAGAGATTCAACAAAGATTCCAGGAAGAAGATACCCTAACTAATTATTCAAGAAATAATTCAAGCAATTTTTCAAGCAGTTCTCGAGGTAAGATTACTATATATCTATTACCTTTGATGAGAGACTCATAGTAAATCAAATATTTCCGTATCATATTAGCTTCAAGACGTACTTCGTTTTCAGATCCAGTCTTTCAGAAATTTAAAACCCTTTTCGACAAGACCATGCGAGAGAACGATTATTCTAAAGCCGATATGATTGCTGAAGTTGTAAGTGATCTTAGAAAGGAGAAGAAAATAAAGGTTGTATCGAGCAAAGCAGTGGAAAGTTATTATAATCAAACAACGAAATCCGACGCCAGAACTATAGGAGCAATCAAATCTTGGTTAGAACTTAAAAGTAAAGGAAAAAATAAAACCGCATCTAGCAATAATAATAATATTAATGAAGTTAGTGGTGATGATAGCGATGATGGAATAAATTATAACAATAATAATAAATAATTTTCAACCTGGTAGAGCCAAAGTAAAGGGGCGTACATTAAATGGTTTAGGGGCCGTACGTTCTCTCCCTTGCAACTCTACCATATTCGTAAAAAAATATTATTCTTGTATATATTTCGCATAGAAAGTATTAAATCATTTTTTAATATATTAAAAATGTTGTGTACGACCCATAATAATAATAAGAAATATGTAGTGCGACTATATAATAATAATAATTCGACAAATTCGACCAATTACCTCGTGGATTACTACATTTTCTGATTCTTGGCGTAAATAAATTCACATTCCACAGATTTTTTAACTTTTTGCTTAACACAAATTATGCCCAAGTTTGACACATACTTCGACGACTTAACTTCTTGCTCGCTACTTAGCTTCCTGGAGCACAAGCGTCCAACAGAAAAAAGCAAAGCTTACAGTGTGTACAAAGGAGCACTTATTTCTATTGCTAAAGACGATACCACCAAGCCAGAAAGAAGAACGTTAGCACGAGCTTGTCTAAATGTTTTTGAGGTGAAGTTTCATATTCTTTCTTTGTTAGTTTTTTGTTATGTAACATCTGCTATCCCATCCTCTCCGTTCGACCTCTGTGTCGTGAGGAAACTGTTTGTTCGACCTCTGTTGTCGATGGGAGAATATTTGTTAGTTTCTTGTTACCATCGTCCTATCCCATCCTCTTTCGACCTCTGTGTCGTTGAGGGATCTGTCTGTTCGACCTCTGTGTCAATGGGGGAATTGCCTCAGTGCTGGTATGGATTTCATGCTACCTCCTAACCTCTGTGTTGTGGAGTTAAGACCTCCGTGTCGTGTGTGTCCCTTTGGTGCAGGCTTTTTATCGATTGGTACAGGCATTCCACAAGTGATTTAGAGATAGATATTTTATTATTTGTCAAACTTTCCTTAAATTAGGAACAAACTAATTCAGTGGCAGTGAAACAATACTGGATGGATCTGGCAAAGGATCAACTGGAGAATGAGATTTATCTCGAAGAGGTTAGTATGTTAATTCTTGAAACCTCACTTTGATCTGCAAACTGAATGGCCATTTTAGTCTCTACATATTCTAGACGCGACAAAGGATACACGAAATCACGGTCGTTTACTACGAAAAACAATTACAGAAAGGCTTGAAATACGAAGTGCCTCAGAAGTCGAAGAAAAGGTGAACCCAGAGTCACCGACTTTAAGTTTAGTTACAATGAACCGATTTATGACTTCCCTTTGGGAAGGAGAATCAAGCAATTTTAATTCTTACTTTTTTGTATTTAGTCTGATGAAGATTTCCAACCAATTCAACCAAAGCGGAAAAAAAATCCATCATTATTGTTATCAAAAAAGGTTGGAATAATAGTAAAGTTTTATGTTGCATTGAATTTTATGTGAGCATTTTTTAAAGACTATTATTATATCTACAGGATGATAAACCGGTTGGCACAGTTAAGAAGGTGTGTATAGAATGCAACCTTATGATAAGGAGTGAATTTCTCTCAAAAAATTTTTTACTTGTTGTTATGTGAACAGGCCAAAACCAAAGAAAAGGACAACGATGATAATCCATTCTTTAATACAGAAAGATCTACAAGTTACACTTCAGGATCATCAACGCCGTGTTCAACACCGCAGACCATTACTTCAGACAAAAATGATGAATCTGTTGTTGATTATGCCCAAGATACTGAGGTAATTTTTAGAAATTTGGACATCTTTTTGGATGAAGACTTATGTTTTAATATCTTTTGTATTTATATAACAGGCCACGATAATTGATGAAACAGTGGAAACATTGGCCAAAGAAAGCCTCACTAGAAATGGAGAATGGATAGTTGGTTTTGATAAAACAAATGTTTGTGAGTCATTAAAAAAATGGAAGTGCGAAAAGGATCGTCCCCATAATGAGTAAGTTTTAGTATTGTTATTAGTTATTTTGTAAAAACATCAAAATAAATAGTGAAATGACTATCATTATGCGACATTAGTCTTGCATATTACGACATTATTGACCTCACACCCGGAACAAATAGTGATTTTGTCAACTCATTATCGCAATGCGAATATGAAGAAATGAAAAGTTTCGATCCTTCAAAACTACCCAATATTAATACTGACGAGATCAAAGAATTAATCGTTAAAATGGTCAAGGTATTCAATAACTTTGTTATTATCAGTGATTATCCTTCAAAAATGTCTAATTAGCAAATCTTTTATTATAGGCGTCTGATTTTCGAAAAGAAGTCAATGAAAACTTCCTATCAACAAGAGATGATGAAAGTAAAGAATTCGTGTGGGATTTTGCATATCAGCTGTAAGTATCATCTTAGTTAAGATCTATAAAAAGTTTCTTTGATACCTGCACAAGTATTGACTTTTATTCCCTTTTGTAGTGCTAATTCTTTTGATCATGGAAATGACCTTCTCAATCCCAATATGTCAGAAAGGATGTATCGAGAAACTTTCTTAACACCTGTAATTCGGAGTTTATTTCGAAAAAAAAGTACGGATTTGGATCTCTTTTTGTAAGTGATGAATGACATCATTTTAAATTGCTTATTTTAATGATCATCAAATAAATATGAATTTTGTTATCTATTAAGCGGTGAGGTATGCTTATACGCATCAGCTGAAGATGCTGATTTAAAAAAGAACGATGCAGAAGAACGAAGTTCCGGACGAAAGATCGATGTTATCTGGGCAACAAAACCTCCAAAAATTGAATTTGCTATTGTGAGGTTAGCGGACCTCCTAATCAACGACAACACTCGCATTTTTTCACCGATAAAATAAAGATTGGAAAAATGTTAAAAATAATGTTAAACAGGATAGTTCGAGTCCATGGTGGAGATAGTTCATTTTTCAGTTTATTGAAACTTTATGGCTTGCAGATATATGGTAAATGTTTTCAATATTAACGATAATCCTTACGTTTTTTGTCTTGGTTATTAATTTTTAAATAATTGTAGATCACAATGCAATTGTATACGAAATGACTGTACCGTTTCGAGGATTATATTTATTTAGGGAAGTTGCACGATCACAATTACCAACCAGTCAAATCAATATAGTGCAGATGCGTCAATGCATACCAATGTTCCTTTTATTTAAAGTATACGTCCTTATTTTTCTTTGAGACATTTTTTTCAATTAGTTCTTGCATACGAACTAAATTTATTGTAACGCTTATAGGAAATACTTATGGAAAGTTTAAATAATTTACATAAATATATTATGGAGGCGGGCTTACATACACCATCTGAAAAGATTAAGGCATCTCTATTTGTTACAGAAATGACGTATACACCTACATCAAAGAAAGTTGGTAATAAAGAAGTAGGCAAGAGAGGAGGGAGGGAAAGAATTAAATAATAATGAAAAATCATCAGAAAAGTGTACTCTAGCTTTGGTTTATTATTAGATATTTTGTTTGTGATAGTTGTATCAATGCATAGTAAAAATATAATTGTGTAGTCATAGTATAGTATATATTTGAAAATAAAGTGTATCGGAAAAAATAAAAAAATGTATGTATGCTAATATACTATTGATCAATAGCTAACATTTATGCTCAGGTTAAACTTTTTACGCATCGAATATTTCAAAACTAAGTATATATGATATCGATTATGTAGTAGTTTTAAAGGCATTGGCATGAGCCGTAATTTATTTTTACGTAGTACATTCGTTTCGTCATTAGTTTAGAAGAACAAAGTGATATGCCTGTAATATCTGATGTTATGCAAGATGAGTTGTGACCCTATAATCTTTTCTCATTTTACGTGATTGGCTCAAAATAATAGTCTTTTGTGTCGAATTACTGCGCCTATAAATCGTTTCTTATTATTATTATTATTATTACTAGCGTGTAACCATTTGCTCCGCAAATCGTAACACACTTCCTCATTGATAGAACCACGTGAAATAAATAGATTTTGTGTATCAAGAATAAAGATTTTTTGAACGCATAAGCAATTTTACATTTACATGTTTTTACAGGATGTTTTTTTCCAGGTGAATGAATCAGTCAAAATTCAAGAGTGGGAGGC